AGCTGTGAGACATGGATAACCGGATGGATCTGCGAACTTTTTGGCAATTCTAGATGATAAGCTACTTAACCAATGCGCTTCAGAATCTGATAAGGGCCATAATGGCGAACTCCGAGCTTAGTTGCTGCCATTTGTGCTGTTGTGCGCTGTCTGAATGGTCGTAGCTTCAAATAAACATATTCTTTCAGTAAAAAGCTTTCTTCACGCCTCTTACCATCTGCGAAGGCTTTGGTTCGACTAATTGAGCCTTTGAGGTTTTTCTTTAATTCTCGCAACATCAGATCCCGTTCCTCGAGTTCTCGACTAACCTCATCGTTGACCGTACTTCCCTTCGAATAGTTGATCAATGTCGGGGGTTTACGCCCGTATACCAGCTCAGACGGCGTCATCTTGGTCGACTCGTGATAGGTGGTGTTGTACAAATACTCAGCCCAGGGCAAAAAGTTTTCCCACCTCTTTGGAAATTGATGGACATAGCACCTTAAGTACTGCTCAAGAGTTCGGTTGGTTACCTCAGTTTGTCCGTCTATTTGTGGGTGGTAGGCTGAGCTCATAGATAACTTGGTCCCTTGTAACTTAAAAAATTCAGACCAAAAGCTGCTCATAAAAATCCGGTCTCGATCAGAAACGATAGACCGTGGTGCTCTGTGCAGTTTCATCACGTACTCCACAAATAACTTGGCAATCGACTTTGTTGTTTAGGGATGAGTGATGGGTATGAAGTGAGCATACTTTGTGAGACGATCCACCACGACCATAACACCGTTGAATCCATTAGAACTCGGTAACCCCTCTATAAAATCCATAGTAATGTCTTCCCAGATTGTCTCGGGTACCGGTAGAGGTTGCAACAGCCCACTCGGTCGTGAATCAGACTTAGTGCGTTGACAATCGTCGCACGGTGCTATGTAATCTCGGACGGTGTTTTATTGTCCTGGCCAGAAGAAAGTATTGGCTATTCTCATCCATGTGCGGTAGATACCCGAGTGACCTCCAATCTTAGAATCGTGAAAGTGCTGCATGATCTGCTCGCGTAACTGTCCACTGTCGGGAACGAATACTCGGCCTCGGTGTAGAACTAGGCCATTGTGCAACTCATAGTCAATAGCAGTCGTCTTACCTTCTTCGATCGCTCGGCACAACTCCTGGCAATGGGTGTCCTCCTCTTGCACCTTCCTGACTTCCTCCCAAATAGTCCAAGCCGGTCCAGTGATAGCATTAAGCTCGGCTACATCTGTCCGTCTGGATAATGCGTCAGCTACTGCATTCTGTCGGCCTGGCCGGTAGACTATCTCAAAGTCAAACCCCATAAGTTTGGAGACGAACTTTTGTTGTTCGGGGGTAACGATCCTTTGTTTGAGTAGATGCTTGAGCGGCTGCTGGTCGGTCACAATCCGAAATCGTCGCCCTAATAGGTAAGGCTTCCAGCATCTTACAGCCTCGGCAACTGCAAGCATCTCCTTCACGTACACAGATAGACCCAATCGAGTAGTGCATAGTGCCTTGCTGAGATAGGCTAAGGGTCGTCCCTCTTGTACTAGCACAGCTCCAATACCAATGTCACTTGAATCTGTGTGTACCTCGAATAAGACGTAAAACCTTGGCATGGCGAGCACTAGCATTGTAGTCATGGCGATCTTTAGTTTCCAAAATGCCTCCTCGCTAGCTTCGGTCCATGTGAACCCGCCTTTCTTAGTCATCTCTGTCAGTGGATTGGCGATGGTTCCATAATCCTTCACGAACTTCCTGTAGTAGCCCGTAAGTCCTAGAAATCCACTCAACTGTGTGAGACTTGTCGGCTTAGGCCAGTCGACCATAGCCTCAATCTTTCATGGGTCAACCTTCACGCCCTCGTGGGATATGAAATGCCCTAGATACTCACCCATCTTCTGCCCGAATGAACACTTGGATGGCTTGAGGTGAAATGAGTTGGCCTCCAAGATTTCCAGCACCACTCTCAAGTGCTCAAGATGTTCAGCCCACGACTTTGAGTAAATCAGAATATCATCAAAGAATACCACAACGAACTGTTGGTGTTATATACTTAAGCTTTGCTTTAGTGGATATTACACTTGTTATTCCTTGATGAATGAGAATTATGTTTGGTTAAATAAGTTCCACGTTCTGTTGTTTTGCATGTAGATAAGTGGGTCGTCATCGGGCGTACCGAAGATCACTATATCAGTTACTTGCGAAACAAGAATCGTTGGTTCACAACCTAGATGGAATTGAACAACCCATTGGAACGGTTGTAGTGTCAACCGTACGGTTTGTCTTGACCGATTAGTTGCACTAGTACATTTATGTATTGAACAGGATCCCAGAGAGGGATGTTCGTTTTATAATAATCGTCGTAAAAGAACTAGGCCTCGGTTAATTATTGCGTGCTCTTAACCCGTAAGATATTAAATAGGCATGTGCACATAATTGTTGTTGCTTTGATTCTTTGGGTGAGA